AAAATGATGTGAGATCCATTAATTGAGAGTAAATAACTGTCTATAAATTCAGTTTTACATTCTTTCTGATGTAAATCATTTTCAACAATAAGATTGACAATGAATTTACATGGAACAATTAACCCAGAGGCTAAAATAAATGATGTCCCTTGACTGAGGGACAATTGAGAGGTTTGACAACAGGAGATATAAACTCTCATGCTTCAGGGCATAAGTCAATCACTAACAGATGGGGCTAAGATGATACTTCCCTTATGGCCAGGTTATTCTATTATTGTTGACTACAGCAGCAGTTCTCAACTGTGGGTCCCTGGGGCTGAAACCCCAAGCCCTGGCGCCCCTTGCCACGGGGCCCTGGAGTTTTTATAGCATGTTGAGGGGGCCTCAGAAAGAAAAAGGTTAAGAATCCCTGGACTACAGGATTTCTTACACCTTCCCCTGAGACATCTGGTACTGGCCACTGTCAGAGGAAGTGGCTGGAGATTAAATGAATCACTGATCTAGTCAAGTTTGGCAATTTCAACTGTAAAAACCAAAACCTTGTCTGACCTCAGCAGACTTTAAAGGTATCTCTGCACCTTTTTATAAATGTAGCTAGTTTTCTTTCATATCATTGTCCCGAAGACTCTAATCACTGGGCAACTAAGATCCTCGTTTATTCTTCATAAAGTATTAGTCACCCTCTAACATTTTAATTCATTTTCCGTTATATTAATATTAATTCACTTAATTGCTTTTCACTCTGCTGCTAAAAGATATATAAGTTTTGGCTACCTTTTGTAAGCAACGGAGATCGGTTCAGGTGCTCCAGCTAAGTCTCCAGATATTAATGGGGAAGTGAGGGTAGGGAGAAATAGGGCAGAAGAGGGCTGATGACAAGGTATTTTTAATGAGAGATCTTTGACTTTGAAAGTTGCTTCCTCTTGGTCTGACAGCACAAATTTGTTGTTCTTCAGAGTATATTGCAAAAGTTATCTATATTTCTAAGTTTTGAGGGCTGGGGAAGAATCTGGAGTGGATGGGAGCAGGCAATCACATTAAAATAGTGACACAATCTCACGAGAACAAAAAAAGTTAATGAGAAATATTAAATCCATCTCTGAAAAGGTTGTTCCTTTGCTCCTTCTCAAGATTTAAGGCTGGAAGTTGTCAGCTTTAACTCTGAATTTTCCTTCTTTTATCAGTCAAGTTTTTGGTTTGAAATTCTCTTAGCTTGCATAGAGAAAGTGAGAGAGAAAGTGTCATTTATCTTTTCATTAACAACATAATCTCATCACACAGGAGAAACGTATTAGGGTGTAGCACAATTAAGCTCAGTCAACAAACAAGAATTTCAAAAGAGAATCACCATTTTAAAGGTTCTTTCATTAATATATGATCATGTTGCTCGTTATTGAGTAATTGCAAAATGTGACATTCAGATCTCGAATATTCTTTAACTAAAATATATTCCAATTATTTGCTTTTATTGCTAAAAGTAAATTTCAAGGGATTAAACTGAAAGTTTTTGACATAATTAAAGCAGACTTCCTCTTTTTTTTAGAACTACAAACAATTATCCTTCAAAAGTTTAATCCTAAAGGAATCAACATATTCTCATCTTCTTTATGCTGATGTTCAATTCTGTGAAATTGAAGCCACTTACAAATAAATTCTGTTTAAAGAGTAAGTCTGATAATTCTGTATTGACAGATGATCACTTCATAGCAGATACAGTAACAGTATGTCCTCCACAGCACTCATTTTCTGGATACTGTATTAAAGAAAATGTCTGTATGCTAAGAGTTAAAGGAATGCATCTGAAAGGTATCAAGGTCGTACATTTTTACAATGCATAAACTAGGAAATATGAGTTCTTTAATCTAGTTTCTCGAGTCCATAGTATTTGTTTGTGGTTTCTTTTTATTGCAAACACTGCTGCAAAGCCTCATCCCAGGCTAACAGCAGTGTCATTCAGTTGAGTAGTTACAGACAGGACCAGATTTAGACAGATGCACGGAAGGCCTATGCCTGGTAGACCAACTTCTGGAATCACGTGATGGCACCAGAATATCAGCTTTCATTTTTGAAAAGAGTTTCTAGCATGTGAAGAAAACCTTGAAAACAAACTGTGAATAAACAATGCATGTCTGCCTGAGTCCCCAAATAGCCTGAAACAATAGCTCTGACGGATGTGAACAGCTCCATTCATCTCAATGGAGTTTTAACACCAAAACCACTGCACTCTGGAGGACTACACCAACACCACCTCAGTAGAAGACTGTAGGTTTGGAAGGAGAAAAGTACTTCTGCATGCACCCAAGCAAATACTCCAACAGTACAGGGAGTTCCCCCTGCTGCCACTCCTGCCTCTCCAAAGGGAAGAGATGACTCATGGTGCTTCTCTTGGGTTGTGAAGAAGGTGGCCCCATGTTCCTTTCCCCTGGCTCTCTGAGAATGGAGGGTTTCCTTGGTCATTATGTGCCTAGTGCCCCAGCATGAACAGATCAGGTACCACGTGGTTCACTTTCTCTCATTCCACTCCTATCGATTTCAGAATTTATTTCTTTCTATTTGTCTGGGTTTTTTTCATCAAGGTATCTGAGTGCTTAATGGAATATCTCAAGTATTGGAGTATCTCCTTCACTGAGTCAACCTATGGTGTTATGGGTCCAATGTCATTCTAAGAGTAAATGCTTACTTGGCAGATGCCTGATTTTATGGAGTATGTGCCATTCTGAATCTACTGGCTGGGCCCTGTGCTAGTGTTTGCAGTAAGTGGGTTCAAACTTTACAGCTGTGGTTGATCTGTTTTGTGACATGGAAGAGGGCCATCACTCCTTATACTGCTAAAATACTTCAGCACACACATAGTTAATACCAGCTATTCGAGGTATAGACTCTGGAGAAGTCTGTGGCAATGTTATGTCTCAGCAATTCTTGCTTTGAGAAATCTGTATGGGAATGTCTACATGGCAACGTCATAGCTGGCTGCTACCAGGAGAGAAAAGACTACAAATAAAGACCACATGCTCTTGAGCACAAAAGAAAAACCAAATGAGTTTAACAGATGTGCACATGTTCAAATATCCAAAATATCTGTGTCTTGCATAGCTACCTCACTCTGCTGCCAGGTGTTGCAAAGAATTTTCCACCATGCTAATGGAGACTGTTCCCTAATAGGAACCACTAGATAATCTGTTAGATTTCTAATAAAATATTATTTTTACTGTTTTTTTTAAAGTAAGACATCAAATCAATTACTTTTTTTAAACTAAATTTACTACACAAGTAATAATAGTTTGTGGAAAATGACTTATGTCATAGATATGAGCAGCTGCTATGAATTTGGATATTAAGTAATTCACACTCTTTTTTGTGTGCAAGGGCTGCATGATTTTAAAAAATTTTCATATGCCCCAATATGTGCCAGCTCTACTAGGTTATCTGAAATCCAGCTGCTGTTATGATAATAGCTGCCAAGTTTCAAACTACTGAAGAGAATAATGCATCAGCTTCACGTCAGTTCAGATATAAATTGACATAGCTCCTAGCTAAGATATGTGCTAACATAACCTCTTAATTAAAAAAACAACAACAACGAAGGCATTACCATCCATTGTTTGAAAAAAATCAAACTTCTCAGAACGAGTAAACATGATGATGATGATAATAAAAAATAATGGATGCAACCTTTGCTCTTGCAAGTAACCCCATTGCAATCAATTTCCCTGAGTGCATCAGAGTATCCACTCACCTCAGTAAAGTTTGCAGGAGAAGGTCCTTCCATTTTTTAATAGTTACTCTTTGTTATGCCTCCCACCTGCCATGCAGTTTTTCGCATTTCATGCTTTATGTAGTTAAACCACAGTATTTTATAGTGATTTGGATAAGAAAAATTGACACTCTAAATTAAGTGTGTACAAAGGAGTGAAATCCCAGACCCAGGGTGTAAAGTGAAGAACCTTTACTCATTCAAAAACAAAACAACGACAAACTACACCCAAGCTAAGTCAAACACAAACTAACACACAAATACCCAGAAAGCCAAAGAAAGAAAGTGAGAAATAATTCTTTCAGATTTTTATGAGTTTTCTCAAAAAGAACAGGAGTACTTGTGGCACCTTAGAGACTAACACACTTATCAGAGCATAAGCGTTCGTGGGCTAATAAATTTGTTAGTCTCTAAGGTGCCACAAGTACTCCTGTTCTTTTTGCAGATACAGACTAACACAGATGCTTCTCTGAAACCTATGAGTTTTCTGTCATTCCACCTGGGAATATTAATTCAAAATAGGCCAAGAAGTTACAAAGTAATTGTAAGTAAGATATTTAGTACCATATTTTGCACTTCAATCTTAGTACTTGATGTCATAAATAAAAAAACCCAACAACTAAAAAACCCCAACTTAGTTAATCAAATGCTAAACGTACTATTACTGGCTGTTAAAAATGTTTTCCTGCTTAACATAACATCATTTGTCTTTTACTTATGTCAACATATATTCTGTCCTTATAGGAAAAAAGTCTTTCCATAAGTCGTCGCAATTCTTTAAAGCCAACTCAGGGGACTAACATACAAAAGTAAATTTATTCCAGTTAGAGAACATAAAATACTACTTAGTAAAAAAAATGTCAATTTATGTTATCATGAGTTGGACCATCTCCAGTATGCAGATTATACGATGCCGAAAAGCCACATTAAAGTTAAAGACTTCAGCAAAGTGAACTTCAAGCAACCTATATATAGTAGTTTAGGCATAAAAATTATCTAAAATTCTATTATTTGAAAAAGATTAGGAATCTATTGACAAATTAAAAGCATGTCATGCAGAGATGGACAGTATTTATGAAACTCAGGCAAATGAGCAAACGACATCAAGAGTTTTATAGAAAACTCAGACTTTGAAAGCTTTTTCATACCTTATTTATGAGGTTGCAAGTAACTGCATTTTCAGCCACATGTTCTTAACATTGCAAAAAAAGAACAGTGGTATTTTCTTGAGTATTAACAGACTTACTTTTCTTTAAGGAAATCCACGACCCGTTTGAAGTCTTCCACACAGTATTCTCTTTTCATGTCCATGAGTATGCTGTCAGAAGCAGATTGGACTGGTATGTGAAGAAAAGCATATACTCTTGGATGATTGAGAATCTTTGCCATTTCCTAAAAAGTAGTCAGAAGAAAATATGTTTAGCCAATCGTTAAAACAATGTACAGAAATCCCATAAAAATCACACATGCTAATGAGGGTCAGTAATGGGGCTTCTGATGCCCAAACAAAACTCAATTTTATTGCCTATTCATGAGTCAGCAAGGACAGGAGGAGAGGTTAGCAAGGATTTTTCAGCAATAAGATGAAAAATTTAGGATTATACTTCACTTCAAATAGAATGTATCAAGAAAGTTTTGTCCTCTAACTAGTATAGTTTGGTAGAGACATGAATATAATTTAAAAGCAAACACTGGAAGCACAGAATTCTAGAACTCTGACTTAGTCTGATTAAAATCTTTAGCAGTGCTCTCAGAGAGCGCCTGTTTTGATTTTCATGAGGGAGCAATGAATAGTCTTTTTCTGTGGGAGACAAACCAGCCCACACACATTTGCATCTAAGTGCATCCTCTTTAGTTTCTATTTTGAGCATCTTTAAGATTGGCCATTTGCTAATTAAGGAAGAGCCAATGAGTTGCAGACTTGCTCCTCTACTATGTAGCAGATTTCAGCCTGTAATTCAAGAGCAAGAAGAAACTGGAAATTAAAAGGTGACAGTTTTAAAAGGAAATACATTTATTGAGTACTTTGAAGCACAAGGGTGGGCTTGAAGAGTGATGGAAGATGTAATGGGATGAGCAGAGGACGTGACTGTGGGGAAACAGAATGGGGGCCTGTTAGCCTCTAAGGTGCCACAAGTACTCCTCGTTCTTTTTTTAGGATGGGGGCCATGCAGGGTCATGGTTGGAATGTAATGGAGAGCATATGGGAAGATGAATGACTTAACTGCTTATTTCCTTGCTTTTTACAGCCTGCATTGGCAGAATATGCAATCTAAGTTAAAGTTTTTGGCTGCCCAAGATGATGTGCCTTAAAGGGGTCTGATTTTTAGAAAGTGCTAAGCTAACCCCCCTCACCATCCTCCAAAAACAGACATATTTAATGTGTCACAAATTGGGCACTCAAGAACTGAAATACCCCAAAACTCACTAGTTACTTTTGAGAGTAACAGCCGTGTTAGTCTGTATTCGCAAAAAGAAAAGGAGTACTTGTGGCACCTTAGAGACTAACCAATGTATTTGAGCATAAGCTTTCGTGAGCTACAGCTCACTTCATCGGATGCATACTGTGGAAACTGCAGAAGACATTATATACACAGAGACCATGAAACAATACCTCCTCCCATCCCACTCTCCTGCTGGTAATAGCTTATCTAAAGTGATCACTCTCCTTACAATGTGTATGATAATCAAGTTGGGCCATTTCCAGCACAAATCCAGGTTTTCTCACCCTCTGCCCCCCCCCCCCCCAACTCACTCTCCTGCTGGTAGTAGCCCATCCAAAGTGACCACTCTCTTTACAACGTGTATGATAATCAAGGTGGGCCATTTCCAGCACAAATCCAGGTTCTCTCACCCCCCACCCTCCCCTCCAAAAACCACACACACAAACTCACTCTCCTGCTGGTAAAAGCTTATCCAAAGTGACCACTCTCCTTACAATGTGTATGAAAATCAAGGTTTTTGTGGATTTGTGCTGGAAATGGCCCACCTTGATTTTCATACACATTGTAAGGAGAGTGGTCACTTTGGATGTGCTATTACCAGCAGGAAGTGAGTTTGTGTGGGGGGGGCGGAGGGTGAGAAAACCTGGATTTGTGCTGGAAATGGGCCAACTGGATTATCATACACATTGTAAGGAGAGTGATCACTTTAGATAAGCTATTACCAGCAGGAGAGTGGGGTGGGAGGAGGTATCATGGTCTCTGTGTATATAATGTCTTCTGCAGTTTCCACAGTATGCATCCGATGAAGTGAGCTGTAGCTCACGAAAGCTTATGCTCAAATAAATTGGTTAGTCTCTAAGGCGCCACAAGTACTCCTTTTCTAGTTACTTTTGGAAATCTTGGCCTAAAAAACAGTGTATAAATGAAGGAGAGAAGTAGTTACATTCTTTGGTGAAAACATCTTGACTACCGTAACCAGACAAACCAAATTTAAAACATTACATTAGTACAAATATTAATAAATACACAAATAATGCAATTAATGCACAACAAGGTATATACAGCTAAACCAAGCTAACAGATTAACTCAAGGTACATCAAGCGCATTCACTGATGGCAGAAAAGTGCCACACTGGACCTGTATTTTTTTGAAACATTTCTGAAAAAAAAATATAGAATCTTTTATCTAAACTTTAGATATTCAAATAACATAAAACTTGCATCCAACCCTCCCACCCCAACACACAAAGTTTTGCCAAATAAAATGACTCCCAGTTTTGCCAATCTGTCTTTACCTCTTCCCCACAAACTTTGGGGATTTCCATAAAAACATTTGCTATGAACCACCCCAGTTTTCAAAACCAAATACCTTATTTTGCCCATCACTAATAAAATTATTAGTTTTCCTTTATCAAATAAGGGAAACAAGGCAAGAGCTCCAGTATGAGTGATTAACTGAATACTGTTCCAGTATAGAATTCGTTTGCACAGCAGACTCTTCCTCTTTCGCCAGCTCTACTCCTAATTCAAAACAGTTTACTCTGAATTATCCTTCAAAACTATACTGCATTTATGATACAAGTAAGTAAGGAATAAGGCAGAAATCACTAATTTGCCTCAGCATTTTTTGAAACTTTCTTAAAATGTGTCCCTGTCCAGTTTTTAAATCAACCAATCAATCCCCTCACACACAGCTAGTGACATTCGTTAGCTTTGTTTTGCTATTCTCCTATTCAGCTTCATTTGTACAATACTTCCTTAGAAGTTTTCAAGGTCAGGCTTGACAAAGCCCTGTCTGGGATAATTTAGTTGGGGATTGGTCCTGCTTTGAGCAGGGGGTTGGACTAGATGACCTCCTGAGGTCCCTTCCAACCCTGATATTCTATGATTCTATGAATACTTGCATCTTTTTGTGCTGACCACTGAATAAAAAAAAAAAATAAAAAAAATAAGGATTTAAGCTCCCGCTTATATTCTCTAGCTCTCACATATAAAAGAAACATCATTTTTCATCTAGTTGTTCTAAGGCTCAGTGTAAGGCTCTTATATTTGACTCGATTCTTCTTTGTAAATTATTTAATTGTTATTTTATATTTCCAGTATGATACCACCCATAGACCCCAATCAAAATTCGGGCCTTACTGTGTTAAGCAATATATAGTGGTAGACTTGGTCCTTTGTGTTCCCTCTTTAATTCATCCATTTCTGAAGTTACCTTTTCTTTGCTCCCCTTCCCCTTTTTTTGGCATAGTGGCTGCTTCTCTTTGAGACACATAGCCCAGCTTTATATCAAATGCTGTTTTTAACTTTTGAATAGCTTGAGAGGTTCTATAAAAATAAATAAATGAATAAATATTAAAAGAATAGGAGGTGTAACTTCATTTGGTAAGGTTATTCTGAATACTGGACAGTATAGGAGACTACACTGCAGTGTTGCCAACTCTCATGATTTTATCACGAGTTGCTCAATATTTATTGTGTTTCTTACTGCTCCTGGAGTCCTGTGATTACATGAGAAACTCAGCTTGCTTGCTTGCTTTTTTAAAGAAAGATTCCAGCTGTCATGATTGCAGAGAAAAGTGTGAAAATGTGAGCTTCAAAGGCTCCAAAACTAGAAGACATTTTTTCTGCAATGACTACTCCAAACAAGAATAACCTAATAACTATTAACTCACAGTAACTTGCAGCAAATCAATGCAATTTGCATTTGACCTACTGCAGCATAGTGTACTAACAGGAAACTTAACTCTGTTCATTGTAAGAGAGGAAGACGTAACATGAAATACATTCAGCAGCTATATTAAAAAAGTCCCTGGTCAAAACTGCTTGTTTCAATTAGCTTTCATGGAAACCACACAGGGGCTTCTATGATCCTTGCAATCAGAGTTGCAGATTTGTATCAGGAACAAGAACATGATGTTGTTCAGTTAATAAACTCATTTTGCTCAGTTCTGTGCCAATATGTCAGAGGATTCCCAGCTTTAATTAACTGAACTGCTCCTCAACTGTCATTATGGGCCCCTGAATTTTCACAGAAAGAACCACAAGTGTAAGATCAAGAAGGCAAAAAATCCTGAGGGAATGCATGAGATGGTCACCTATGTGTTGATAAATGTCACTGACATTTTCACAGTACTGTTTTATATTTGGAAAAGACACAGGGGGGTCTCAATATCAAACCAAATGTATCTTTCAAAAAGCTAATTTTGTGTGTGTGTGTGTCTGAGAAAGAGAGAGAGAGAGAAATGTGTGAGAGAGACAGATGTACATATTATATACACAAAGAAGGCCAGGTTCAGAGCAGGCATACAAATTGCATGTCATATGGATTCGCTATGAGGAGAGCAGACAGTGATACTATGGTGTCAGATACTGCAATCCCATGAAGTATCCTTAGTGTCCATTGTTTTAAATGAATGGTTTATGTGTAATTGTTCTACTCCATGAGAGAGGGCTACCACAGCTCCTCCAGGAACTAAAAACAGTGGATGGTGATTAAGAAAACCAGCCAGGCTGTAACCCTCTTCCTCTCCCTGCACCCCTCCTCCCACAAGAGGTACCAGTGGATTCTCTGTTCAAATTGGATTCTTCAGAGACCAACAGACAAAGAATGGACTTTTGAATAAATAGCACAAGCTTACACTGATTCGGGGTTTTCATTTTGCATCTAAGACAGATAAATTACAACCGGTGGAAAACCCAGCTGTGGGTTCTGAAAACCTACCAGAGCCATAGGCGGAAGCTGGGAGTGATCTCCGGTAACCTTTTAAGTGTGCATTTAAGTTCTCTGATTGTTTTAATGTATTCTCTGTAATGCTTTTACCTTAATAAATAAATGAATGAATGAATGAATGTGCTGGTTTAGAAAGAGCTGTGTGGTAACTTGGAACTGCATCCATACACTGGTCATAGTGTATGGATGCAGTTACCTCTGGGGCCATCCACCAC